AGGGAGAGGGATAGAGAGTCAGAAACATCGATGAGAGAGAAACATCAATCAGCTGCCTCCTGCACACACCCTACTGGGGATGTGCCCGCAACCAAAGTACATGCCCTTGACCAGAATCAAACCTGGGACCCTTCAGTACGCAGGCTGATGCTCTATCCACTGAGCCAAACCAGCCAGGGCTCTAGTACCTTCTTATCCAGTCCTCCTCTAACTCCTCTCCCACCTCTCCCCATGGAGCCACACAGCTCCCTTAAGTGGACTAGCTCACAGAAATATTAAGGGATCAAAATAATCAAGTTGGTATTTTTTTATAACACACCAAGCTGGCATGATCATGGACATAATTTCTGGTGATCTGGAAGCCAAATAAAATACTGCTGCCCCCCCCCCAACCCCCGCCTCACCCCTGAATTGTACCAATTGTACTAGTGTTGGTTAATGTTCACTATTATAACTCTGATAGCCTGCAAGGAAGGTTCAGGTGTGCCTTCTAAGTCATCCTAGAAAGAGCTTCAGTAGATGCTTTCGTCAGATGTTTGCATGGCTTACTCTGTCACCTCCTTCAGCTCTGTCTTCAAATGTCACCTTCTTGAAGGCTTTCCCCAGTGACACTAAGGAAAATGGCACTCCACCCTGCTCCCACCAATCCCTCACATTCCTCACCCCTAGTCCTGCTCTGCTATTCTTTGTAGCATTTACCAGCAACTCACATCATATCTATTTATTATCTGTCTTGCAAAGAAACAATGAAAAATATATTTTTAAATTTTTTTTATTGATTTCAAAGAGGAAGAGAGAGAGAGAAACATCAATGATGAGAGAGAATCATTGATCGGCTGCCTCCTGCACCCCACACTGGGGATGGAGCCCACAACCTGGGCATGTGCCCTCACCGGAATTTAACCGTAACCTTCTGGTTCATAGGTCAGAGTTCAACCACTGAACCATGTGGGCTGGGCTCAATAAAACTATATTTTAAAAAAAGAAAAGATCTTGAAAAGGTCTGAGTCTCCCTCCCTTAAAATGGGGGTGATAACACCTACGTCAGGTGTGGGCTATTTGGGTAATGTATGTGAGAGTGCTTGAGTGTAAAGTATATGCCTGAGGGTTTTGTGGGTAAATGGGTAAGTCCTGTTGACCCCCAGTGGGACTTTCCCCCTGGCCTTGGGGATCCTGAAGGGAAAGCTGGCCATCTGGTGTACTTCCACCAACGACGCTAAAGCATGGCCAAGCCGGTGCCGCTGTGCAGCATCTGTGCTGCAGGGCGTCTGTCTTGCTTCAGGTTTGCCTGTCTGTCTTGGGAGACCTCAGCGGGGCCTGGGGCCGTGGCTCCCTGGGCGCAGGCGGGAGTGGGCGGACCTGTTGGGCGCAGAGGGTCCCCCCAGAGCCGTGCCCATCGGCTCCCGCTGCTATAACGTCCCCGAGGCCCGATCGTATTTGTCCGCGTGGTACTTACCCGTAGTTAAGAGACAAAACTGGACTTTGCCTGTGTTCCCCGCCCTCTCCCCCGTTTAGCCTCCGCAGGCCAGAAAGGAGGGGACAGGCAGGGGGCTGGGCTGGGCCGGCCCGGGGCAAGGAGGACGGGCTCCGGACTTTCAGGAGAGAAAGAAGGGAGCTGGGGGCAGGGACAGCGGGGAGGGCACGGAGGCGGGCAGGGCCGCAGGGAAGGGGAGAGGCAGGCGCGGAGCAGGGCAGGGGCGGGCGCGGGGCGGGGCG